ACACACACACACACACACACACACACACACACACACACACACACACCTAGGGACAATTCAGAGTTACCAGTCAGTCTAACATGCATGTTTTTGGTCTGTGGGAGGAAACTGGAGTACCTGGAGAAAACCCACGCAGCACAGAGAGGACATGTGTAGTGAACTCGGCCTCTGACCAAAACCTGCCTCTGAGGACCCTCATGGGACAGGTACTGTTATTTCATTGATTTGAATCCAGAAATACAAATGAGCTCATCCAGAGACTGTCTAGTTGTATCCTGAAGTAATCAATTGAAAGAACACTCTTCTTTTATATTATCATCATCACTATTTTACAATATCTTGATAAATCAAAAGTGTGTTTAGTTCATACCATTTCTAAATGTTGAAGTGAACCACTCATTTTAAATCAACTGTGAAACAGTATTAATGATTTTTTAATCCTCATTTACATTAGAAATCAAGTTAAATGTCTATTTACAAAGTAATTATGCATTTTGATCTTCTGTCTGAAATGAGGAGTACAGAAAGAAGTTATTAGAACGAAGTGGATTGTTTTTAAACCTAGCAGACGGTAAAAAGAAGCAACTGGCACCTGCTTCTTCTCACTTCGCCATAACATGTCTTCTGTCTGTACTGGACATTTCTAAAACATTCCTGCTGTTTTCTTGACTTGTAATGACCCTCGGACATCACTAGAACCACCCCTGTTGGTTGTTTCAACCAATCAGGAAGTCCTGAAGTGACCGGAAGTGAGAACTCTTTAAGAGTCCACACTTCCTGGAACTTCTGAAGTCAGTCTTCAGTCTTCTTGAGTCTTTGGCCGGAGTCTTCCTAGGGTCTTCTTCAGTCTTTCATGGAGTCCTCCACTTCTGAGTGGCATCTCTGACTGAAGTCTTCCTGAGAGTTCCTAAGGAACTTTCAGATTTAATCAATAGCTGATGGATTTGACCGTGAGACAAGGGTCCGTCCATCCCAGCTGGAGTCACAGCGCCTCGCTGGGAACTCACCCGGGCGTAACGCCCTACAACTTCTAAGGAAGCTTATTCTGTTGAACGGAGTACCGTCACTACTTTGGACGATTCTCAGCCACCCTGACCGGAGACGCTGAAAGGTAGCGTTGAAATGGACCTCTGTACCGGAGCTGATCTATCTTCTGCAAAGGTAACGAGTCGTCACGCACCGAGTGTACCGGGGCTGAGCTGGGGTCGGATGAAGGGTGCCATTCCTGGTCAACACACTTTCCTTCATCCATCTAAATCCTCCTCTTTAAACCTCTAAATCTCTCCTCTTGTAAACTCTTCTATTTTGCCAGTAGTCTAGATGCCTTCTTCAAGTCCTGTTGTCTTATTAAGTAAAACGTGCCAAGTTTTATTAATCAGAACCAGATCAGCTAATCAAGTGTACAATGTTTTGATGTTAAATTTTGATTCTGTTCAATAAATGACCGCATTTATTCTGATGGGTCAAAGGAAATTAACGTCTCATGTCACTGATTAAACAATCCACTCACTGTTACCTCGGTCACATGGCAGTAATTTAACTCGAAAAAGAGAGAACCCGTTTATTTAAATATATTGTAGTGGAGGTGCAGCTAACCTAGTCCTTAGCACACTACACATGCAAACTCCACCCAGAATAGCCCCCGTCTGGGATTCGATCTGGCAACCTTCTTGCTGAGAGGCGGCAGCAGCTCTACCAACTGTGCCACCGTGCTGCCCCAAACTATAAATATAACTAAAAATATTTAAGACTTTTATTCTACAGTTTAGATAATGCATTTGTAGCACTAAAAAGTGTTCTTAACTGGTACAACAATAAAATTGTTTAAATGTATGCTTTTTATAATATGTTGTAAACTTATATATAAAAAATCAGGTTTTTGTAAATATTCAGAGCCTGTACTTGATGCTGGGTTGAAGCAGCAGCTACAGCCTCGAGTCTTTTTGAATTTGATGCATCAAACTTTGCTCATCTGGATTGTCTGATTTTCAGACATCCATTTTTCATAACTCTCTAAAGCTCTACCCAGTTGGACGGAGACTGTTGGTGGAGTCATTTTCAGGTCTCTTCAGAGATGTTAGATCAGGTTCAAGTCAGGTCTCTGGCTGGTCCACTCTAGGATATTCACAGCGAGCCACTCCTGTGTTGTCTTCACTGTGTACTTTGGGTTGTGTTGGAAGGTGAACCCTCAACCCAGTCTCAGGTCTTGAGCTCTGTGGAACAGGTTTTCATTCAAGATATCTCTGTTCTTTTCTCATCAGCAGTTCATCAACCCTGACTAGTCTCTTAGTTCCTGCTGCTGAAAAGCACATCCATGGCATTATGCTATCAGGTTCTGGGTCAAATTTCTCAAGACTCTACCATTATTGTTCAGTGTGGTCAGGTGAGGATCTGGTTGGAGGAGGCCTGGTTTGACATTTCCAGATCTGTACCTTGCCATAGTCCTGTCTTTGACTTCTGCAGACAGCTACTTTGACCTCAGGGCTTTTGCTCTGATTGTCAGCTGGAGGGCTTCAATAGAGGTGTGGGGCTTTTTAACTAATCTTCAATAAATGTATTTACGACAAGTGGACTCCAGTCAAGGTGTAAAAACATCTGAGCAGAGATTGGCTACAGAACAGAAGATCTGAACAGTTATGGAAATATATTTCTAAATAAAATTCTATGAACGTAGCATCGGGCTGCAAAATTCAAAAAATAAAAAGGGAAGCAGATAAAAACACTGTCTGAAGTCAATGAAAACAATTTAGAAAATAATCCTCTTCTGGCGGGATGGTGGAGCACTTGGTAGAGCTGTTGTCTCTCAGCGCTGGACGCTGGTTCAAATCCCGGCTTGGGACCTTTCTGGATGGAGTTTGCATGTTCACTCTGTGCATGTGTGGGTTTTCTCCCACAGACCAACAACATGCATGTTAGACTGATTGATAACTTTAAATTGTCCCTAGGTGTGAGTGAGAGAGTGAATGGTTGTCTCTATATGTCCCTGTGATGGACTGGAGACCTGTCCAGGGTGTCCCCCGCCTCTCACACAGTGATGGCTGGACATGGGCACCAGTGACCCCCATAACCCGAAAAGGAAGAAGCGGATAAAGATGGATGGATGGATGGATGCATGGATGGATGGAGTCTCTTCATGTTAACGTTGAGTAAAATGCATGTGCAACATTCAGTAAAACCACAAAAAAAAGGTTTAAAAAGGATGGTCATACTAAATAGCTTTTTTAAATTACAATTATAAAAACTAAATCATGATAGTATTTTGAATATATATATATATATATATATATATATATATATATATATATATATATATATAAACCCTATATATGTGTTTGTATTTTTACATTATAGTTGACTTAATCATGTATACCTTGCTATACCCCAGTGCAGTAGCATCTTTCCTGATCCCAAACCATTTGGCTGGGTCCACTGGCTCCTTATACAGAGTGGAGTTCATAACTTCCTCTGGCAACATGCTGGTTTCATTTGTAAGTGGCTGTGAAGATAAAAGGTGAAATCACAAACACATAACAACGCTAGTTTAATTCCCCCAGAAAGTCTCATTAAGTTTAGTGGAGGGCCTTCAGGGTCTGGAACACACCCAGGAAAGGACTGAGAGGAAATTACTGGTACATGTTCAGAGTGTCTGGCTCCACGAAGACAGCAAGTATCAAAGAAAAAACTCAACGTTGAATCCATAACTAATAAAAGATCAATAGAAACTTTAAATAGAGCAGAATAAAGAGCTTTAAATCAAGACTGAATAAAACATATTTGTAAGAAACTGATGTTTTTAATTGGTCTAAAGTTTAAAAGGATAGACAAGTTGTTTTTGTAGCTTTACCTCTGCAGATTTAAACAAAGACAACTATCTGGTGAGATGTCTGGCGCCTCTTACCAAACTGCAGTTGCGGGAGTACTCATCGGGGTTGACGACGCTGAGCTGGTAAAGCATTTTGCAGACGATGATGACACACACCCAGACTGTCGACAGGCAAGATGCCATGGGTCTGAAGCGACAACAGGGCATCGCCAGAGACCACAACACCACCAGAACCAGATTCATCACAGATGGCTACAGAACAAAAAAGAAAAATGGGACAACTTTTACACTTTTATGTAAAATTATCAATTAAAAGTCAAGATCACTTGATATTGGTAAATATGGTGTGTTTTCTCATTCACCACCACCTAATATAAAAGGATGTTGGAGCTGTGTGTATCTGTGGAAATGTTTTAAATAATTAATATCTTACCTGTAGTAGATCCCTTCTTGAACAAACAGAGTTTGGAGAAATGGGGTTTAATTCTGACAGGCTTATTAACGAGCTAAAAGGTATGAGTGAGGCTAAGAAATTGAACAAAGCCTCTATGTCAGACAGGTCCAGTCTCAAAGATTTTATTTCAGTTCACGTGGTTTATTTCATAAACCTCACTGTCAGTTTTACATTATATCGTCATTTACCTTGAGCTCAGGGGTCATTTGGGAGGTTATCTGTAGTACTTTCTGGTTCCTCTCAGCAAGAATTTAATAGCTTTTCTGCTGAAATTACTTTATTAGGCAAAATGTGACATAAGGGTTAAAAAAGTATAATTGACAAGAATCATAACATTTTAGAAATTGACGATGTTTTAAGTTGGCAGCAATTCACATTGACAGCTGCTTTTCAGCTTGTCAGTCCTGTCAAAAGTAAAATATTCCTTCAAAAGAAGGTTGGTCAAAAAGCTAACTACAACAGGTAAGATGCTGATTCTTTATAATTTTACCACAAAACTTTCAAACAGGTGAAATATTTCTTTAGAGGTGACTTTGTTTAACCTATTATTTCATTAATTTATCAAGTACAGACAATTTCACAAGCAGGTGATAAAGTAGGTGCCTGAGTGTTTCTGAAAGCTTCACTAAAATCCACCCAGTGGTTCATTAGACATTTTGCTAACAGAAGGCTGACTCCGACAGTTTATGACAAAGTTTAAATTTATTTTCAAATCAAATTTTTTTTTTTTTTTTTTT